TGCTGAACTTAAGATCCACGCGGAACAGATCTGGGTATTGTTCAAATCGACGATACCAACCTGCGATCCGGGTACCGTTCAGATCGACGCAGATCAGATCTCCAAGAGGATGTCTACCTCCTAAACTTCAAAAAACCTTAACTCATCACCAATGGAAATGAACAATACAACCCCTATCCCTCCTTCCCTCAAATTCCTGATGAGTAACCTCAAACACCTTGCTCAAAACCCACTCTCAGCTAATAAATATCATATATGGAAGGCACAAGCCTTAAGGTGTTCACCGCAAATGGGTCCCTAGGGTTCTTGGATGGCAGCTCAACTTGTCCTCAATTTGCCGAGAGCATTGCAGATCTACAAGTTTGCAATCCTCACTGTGCCTCATGGATATTAGTAGATCAAAACCTAACCGCAACACTCTGCTCAATTACCTCCACACTAATTCTTCTGTGTTGCATCTCTCTACTACCGCTGAAATCTGGCACACCATTTCCAAAAGACTGCAGCCAACTAATCGCTCGAGACTCATCCAACTAAAAAATGCACTTCATAATCTCTCAATGAACAATCAGACAATGATGCAATACTTGTCCTGCATCAAGGCTCTAGTCGACAACATCATTGTTGTTGGAGGTACACTAGATAGCGATGACATCAACCTCTACACGCTCAACGGACTCCTGGCCACCAACCAAGGCTTCAAGACAGCAATCTGCACTCAAATGCATCTTCTTGGATGACTTCTACTCCCTTCTATGTAGCGAGGAGAACAACATTGTAAGTGACAATCAAAAACTTGACAAGCCCTCTAACACTCAACTTGCTCTCATTGCAACTCGCGGTTTGCCCTTCTCCACTGCTCGCGGTCGAGGCCGAGCTCAACCTCCTACCCATACTAATGGGGGTCGAAGCACGCCAAGAGCCGCAGTAACGTGCCAAATCTTCACTCTGTAGCTACATGTTGGCATCGATCTAATCTTCAGTACATACCTACTAAACAATCCTTTCAAGCCACCGCCTCACCATAGGTCATGGATTCCGACATTGCAATGCATCTTACCTCAGATATCAATCACCTACAACTTGCTACTACCAATCCGTTCCAGTAGCACATACGGATGATGGCCTCCTTCCGACACCCCACCGTAAGCTTCTCCTACACCAAATATCACGTGTTTCATCTCTTTCTCACAATCTACTATCTATCAATAAATTGATTCATGTTAATAATATTGCTATTCTTTTTTATCCGAATAATTTTACCATCATTGATCCCAAGACAAAGCTATTTTTACTCCGGGGAACCAAAACTGATGGCTTATAACCGATCATTTATCTTATGCATAACATTTCTACTCTTGTCACCTCCACAAAGAAGTCCATCCACAGGTACGAACGTCTGGGCACCCACATTCTGATGTTCTTACGCTCGTCTCCAATAGTCAACCGAGCTTAGAAATAGAAACACATGCCTCTATATGTAATAGTTGTAGTTACAACAAAAATCATTGAATATTTTTTTTTCATTTCATTCTTCGCATACATATGCACCTTTGCATTTAATACATTCTGATGTATAGGGTCCAGCCCCAATTTCATCTATTCAAGGCAATAAATATTCCTTGCTTCTTATTGATGATTTTTCACATTTTTGTTGGATGTTTCCCATGATAAGCAAAGTTGAACTGCCCACAAATGTATTCAATTTATTAAAATACTTCACACTCAATTTAATACCACTATCCGTACACTTCAATCCGATGGTGGGGATGAATACAGAAGTATACTACTTCAAAACTTGCTACAGCACAATGGCATTCTTCATCAATTCTCATGTCCACATAACCCCTTGAAAGGTGTGCATTTTCATTAAAAGTAAAAAAAGATAAATAAATTACAAGCGTGACAAAAGTCACCAAAAAAGCGAAAAAAAAAGGTTGCTAAGTAGCAGCCCCAAAAGAACTTGTATCCCCTTCTACAAAAAATAACAGTGACGATTCCGTAAATTTCTATGTTCAAAACTATCAAGTATTAAAATTTGAGCACAACAATGTGCAGCACTATTAAGAGTTCTTGTGATAATGGAAAAAGGACCTGACAGAAATTTGTCAAGAAGGCGAAATCGGGGTGGCGTCCACTGTATTGATCCCATGCGGTCTTCTCCATAGAGTGTCGGAGCATATTGATAACATTGTTGTTATCACCTTCCACAATTATGCCATTGACTTCAAGCATCCATGTTTCTACAAACGATCCGAAGAAATTAACAGCCTCCATTTCAATATGTGAACTGTCCCAGTATGACAGCTTTTGTCCCCTCACAAGCACAAAATTGCCAACTTCATCGCGAATTAGAAAGCCCGCACTAGCAAGCACAGAGGGAAGAAAGGTTGTGCACCAATGCAAAGAGAGAGACGGCTTATCAGGTCGAGTGGTGCACCATTGCTCCTGGATGGGATCCGAAGATGTATTGGTAAGAGCTAAAAGAATTTGTGAGGCCATCACGGTAGAAGTGTTGAATGGCCGCCCACATTTTTTGGCATTGTGTGCCCACCAACATTGGTAAACAGCGTACCAATAAATTCAACAAACAACAAGATGTTGTTTTGGCAAGTTCTTCATCACAGATACCTCCTCAAAACAATCAAAGGACGGGATATAAATCTCCCATTTGGCAAGAACCTGAACACTGGCCATAAACACTTTGCATGTCCCCACACTCCCGAACAAAATGGGGTTGTGGAACGCAAACATATGGATCTCATTAAAACCACAAGGAGTCTTCTCCATGATGCCTCTCTCCCCTCTAATCTCTAGGTAGACACCCTCCTCGCGACAGCATATCTCATCAATAGAATGTCAACTAAAAACATCAATCATAAATCTCCCTACGAACTTCTCTATAATCATCAACCTACTTATTCCCACTAAAAGTATTCGGATGTCGGTATTACCCATGGCTACAACCACTTCATTTCCCGCCATGTCTTTTGGCATTGCGTGCCCTCCGGCATTGGTAAACGGCATAACAATAAGACCAACAACAAAATGTTATTTTGGTAAGTTCTTCATCACAATACATACCTCCTCAAAACGATCAAAGGACGGGATATAAATCCCCCATTTGGCAAGAACCTGAACAATGGTCAAAAGCACTTTGCATGTCCCCACAAGCCAGAACAAAATAGGGTTGCAAAACATAAAATTAGGCATCTCATTAAAACCACATGAACTCTTCTCCATGATGCCTCTCTCCCCTTTGCTCTCTGGGTGGACACCCTCCTCGCAGCAGCATATCTCATCAATAGAATGCCAACTAAAAACATAAATCGTAAATCTCCATACGAACTTCTCTACAATTATCAAACTACTTATTCCCACCTCAAAGTATTCGGATGTGAGTGTTACCTATGGCTAAGACCACATACACCACATAAATTCGCCACCCCCCCTAGCTCTCATCCATGTGTATTTCTTGGGTACATCTCTGATCATAAGGGCTACGAGTGCTACCAACCCACCTCCAAAAAATTGTTCATTTCTCTCCATGTAACCTTCGACGAACATGTCTTCCCATACCAATCATTCTCTACTTTGCCTACATCCCCACCACATCCTTCTACAACAAATCCCTTACTTCTTGTCCCCCTAAATGTATCCTCCCATCGCCATCCATAACCACATGCGACACAACACTCCCTCCACCACCCAATACACCCTACCACCGAACCCATCTCCCATCATTCCAACATCTCCCCCACTAGAGAACACCATTCTGCCCCGTCACATGGTTACTCGAAGCAAAACCGGTCAATTGAAACCTGTTACAAAGCTCAACCCGCTCCATCAACTCAAGCACCGTCCTGATCCTACAACATACACACAAGCCACAACGCATGCCCACTGGAGTTCAGCTATGAATGAAGAATCCTTTGCTCTCTAGGCCCAAGGTATTTGGGTCCTCATTCCACCACCAGTAGATCAACTGATCCTTGGATGCCGGTGGACTTATTATACCAAATATGGGACCGTGGCAAGTTATATATCTCGTCTCGTTGCGCAAGATTATAACCAAGAATATAGATTTAATTATTATGAGATATTTAGTTTGGTGGCAAAAGATGACTACTCTATGTGTGTTCACTGTTATCTTCAACAGGAACTAACCCATCTTACAATTTGACTAGAATGCTTCTCTCCATGGTACGTTACTTGAAACTGTATATATGAAATAACCACCCTGTTATATTGACTCCCAACTCCCCAATCATGCATGCCTACTCAGAAAGGCATTGTGTGGCCTTAAACAGTCGCCGAGACAATGGT